ATGGATTAGTGTTTACAGTTATTACTGTTTTTGATTATTTATGGGCAGTGATTACATGGATTAGTGTTTACAGTTATTACTGTTTTTGATTATTTATGGGCAGTGATTACATGGATTAGTGTTTACAGTTATTACTGTTTTTGATTATTTATGGGCAGTGATTACATGGATTAGTGTTTACAGTTATTACTGTTTTTGATTATTTAAAAAATTGGTTGATCAAAATTATGATTAAAATGGCTGTGATGAAAATAATCTACTAATTAAAATAGTGTTCTTGATTGTTACTGTTTTCGATTATTCCAACAATCGATTAACTGAAATTCTGGTTTTTTCTTGTACATTGCATAGTTTGAGGAACATTGTACTATTTGATTAATTGATTGTATATGATCATTGGGGTTGTTTTTTCTGCAGCAGACTTTAATGGGCTACTTTTGTCACCATTCTAAATGCACCTTAACATCTGACTGGGTAAGATCTTTTTCTCTTACCTTCACCAGGGCCCTCTTCTTGTCACAGGATCCTACTAAGTGGTGTGTGGTGCCTGTTAGAGTATACTTACATAAATTTGCATGCCTGATTGTGTTCACTCATAAGATGGGATGTTCCACAAGACTGCTAAAGGTATCCTGGTAGTATATATTATTTACTAAACAAGATGCAGACCGTACCTACTCATGGAGTTGGCAACCTGCATCTTGCGAGTTGCATGTGGATCTTTATAAATATTCCCTCTAAAAATAAAGTGTGTAAATTCTCATTTGTCAACAAAAAAAAATTATACTCAATCAGGCATACAGATGGAATGTTAATATCAGATTTGCTTTATTTCATTGAACGTTTTTTTATTTTTTTTTTTCAATAAAAGAAACAGGATACAGTTGCACTTCACATCTGCTTCCATTTTACATTCAATTTCCAAAGCCTTTATTGCCAACACAACAGTAATCAAACAATTAAACATGAAATGTAAGCAGATGTGCTGAGGCCTGATTAGGTGGTTGGAAATGCAACGTAACATTAGGTTGGTTGTTTGGGTTAGAAAAAAAGTATAAAATAAGAGTTATACACATTCAAAATAAAACTAAAATTTTCAAACATGGAAATGGCTTCAAAAACAGAAAGATAGAAGATGATCATTGAGAATTTCAAAATGTGTTTATATCAACTTCAACTGGACTCCCATTATGTGTAATTTGCAATGAGAAACTTGCCAATGACCAGAATCAAATAAAGAAAGTTTTTAAAAGAACATGAGAAACTTGCCAAATCGTGTCCACCTGAGGATGAAAGAAAAAAGAAGTTGAGGAGCTAAAGCATAGAGTAGAATGAACAAAGTGTACTTTTGCTAAATGGAAAAAAATCATCCAGCAGTACTACTACTGCTAGTTTTGTGGCAGCTCAGGAAATCACAAAATGAGGAAAGCCATTCACAGGTGGAGAATACATGTATATTTATTTAAACAATGAAACACCTTTTGAGGTATTTGAAAAACAAACACCAATTGTTTTAAAAATTTGAGATATGCCATTATCTGTCAAGACGGAAAGACAGAACTGTAGATATGGCCACAGACATAACCAAACAGCAGGTTAGTGACATAAATTCAGCACTGGGTTTTTCTATTGTCTTTGATGAGTCATGCAATGTGGATGGAATTGCACATATTGCTCTTCTTAGCAGATATATGAACTCTCAAGGACCTCAAGAAGAATTGGTCGAATTATTGCCACTCAAAGGACAAACTTGGGGGGAAATCATTGTATTTGCTGTCACTGAATGCTTCAAACAAAAAAGAAATTAATATCAACAGAATAGTTTCTGTTACTATCAATGAGGCATTGAGCATGAAGGGTGTACACAAAGGTTTCATTTCTCTATTTCAGAAAGTATGGAGCATAATGTAGTCTCATTTCATTGCATAATCCATCAGGAGATGCTCTGTGCACAATCCTTTCCAGAGGAGATATCAAAAGTAATGTATATAGTGGTACAATCTGTCAACAAAATAATGACAAAAGGTCTTAATCATTGGCCATTATGCAAGCTTCATAAATAAATCAATAACCAGTATTCTGATCTTCTTTTGCATAACTAGGTATGATGGCTTTCCAGAGGTCAAGTGCTAAAGTGGTTTGCATCCTGTGTCAAGAAAGTGTAGGTGTTCTTGTGAGAGAAGGGTATTGAATATGCCAAGCTAGCATATCCTCAGTGGCTACAGAAATTCTATTTCATGATTGATATAACTTCTTACTTAAAAGTACTAAATTGGAAGCTATAGGGAAAGGGAATACTGCCATTTTCCTTTTAGAAAAAGTGCTTTAATTTGAATGAAATCTGTCGTTATTTGTGAGGGACATTGAGACAGACATGGTGCATTTCCCAACATTGAAGCAATGTAAATAAACAAACAACTGTGATATTGATCTCAAGTTACGTGCAAAAACAGTCCTCAAAATTCAAGATGTATTTGCTGGACAATTTCATGAATTTTGAAAAGAAAAGGCAGCTTTAGCCTTTTGGGTTTTTTTTTAAATCCCTTGAAGCTGACACTTCTGCACTGAAGTTTGCAACATTAGCTGGAGTTGATTGAGCACAACTTGAACTTGAAGTAGCAGACTTGCAGGACAAGGATTTTTGGAATTCCAAGTTCAAAGACCTCAATACTGAACTTGAGAATATGGAGAGGCAGAAATCTACCCTGACACTACAAAACAAGTGGTCTGAAATGGATGATCTTAAAAAAACAAAACCATATAGTATTTGAAGTTTGAAATTATCTACCCGACACCTATTGTCAACTTAAGCAATATGCATTTAGGCTTCTGTCAATCTTCAGATCAACATACTTTTGTGAACAAGTTTTCTGACCTGAATTTCATAAAAAGCAAACTGAGGAGCCAATAAAACAATTTGAGTCTTGAATTCTGTCTAAAAATGAAAATCACAGGATATTCATCAAACATTGAGCAAATCTCAAAAGTATCCAATAGTAGAAGTTGCATTAAAAGTGGTGATAAGTTTAAAAAACATAATTTATATATCTAGCTATTAAAGTTACTGTTTGTTGTGCTAAGAATAAAAATAAATAACTGAGTAAAAGGGACTTATTATTGTGAGATATATTTCATTATGTGAATGGAGGTAAGGTATTGTATCAGAAGTTAACATTTTCCAACACTGAAAATGTATTTCCGATAGATACTTACTTCTTCTCACACTTTCCACCCATCCTCCTCACTTCTAGTGCACCTTTTCTTGCCTTATCTCAAAGTGATGATTGAGCAATCAGTATAAAGGGAGTCCTCTGTGCTAGGAGGGTGTGTTGCATGCTTATTTGAGGTGAGAGTTTCAAGACTATTGGTGAATGAAAATTTTGCATATAGAGGGCAGCACTGAATCAGGAGGCTATTATGTGAGAGGAGATGGGTATCTATCAGAAATACATTTTCAATGTTGCAAAATGTTAATTTTTCTGAAACAAACAGATCTGTTCCCAGAGTTACTTGATGAATACATCTGGTGGTGCAAAAATGGTGAAGTTACAATGAGGTTATATGATGGGTTAAGATGTTGATATACTCTTTGTCCAAAAGATTCTGAGAGGTATTCTGTAAGATTTTTGTATTGACATATTAATTGCCACTATTTTTCCTGGCCATGTGAGTTTATCATTCTCCCAACAGTACAATACTAGGCCTTATCTTGCATTAGAATGTCTGGTTTAAATGCACATGTGAAAAATTGTACTGACGTATCAAATATACATTAGTATATATTGTTGTGCATGAATCCACCTTTTTGAAGCTTAATTTCATTTGTACATCCCTTCATACTAATGTGTTCCTGCAACGCAACCATCACAAAAATGCTCATATTATAAAATGTTTCAATGACCATATGTTTGGCTTATAACACTCCAGACTTGATCATTTGTAATGGATATTAAACATTGATTCAGGTATGAAAAGTAAAGGTAATCAATGAGATTACTGCCAATTCTGATGAGTTCAACTAAAGTTCAAACAAGCTCTGTGGCCAGGTAGGGGTTGAAGTCCATGGGGATTCCTAGCGGCCCTGTCATGTAAATAACAGTCATTATACAGCATATTTGACCTTTAAAGACATAAACTCTATTTATTGTACAGGATAGTTGTTTGATAATCTGACTACAAACTCCCAACTGTAAACTTAAATACATAAAAAGGAGCTATCTACCACTTTTCCGTGTTTGTCTAGTTTGCTACATTTGAACATCTTTGAAAAAAAATATCTTGGCATCAGCACATGATATACAGAAACAACAGATAAATTTGAAGTAATTACAAGAAACTGCAAATGATCATATGATAAAATGAACTGAAGATGCTGCCTTTTCATGGTGTGTAGCATGAGCCAAAAGAGCCATATGTGTTCTTGCAACAGAACACACAATTTACACTTATTAGTGATACATAAGTAGCTGCCTTTTTATGGTGTTTAGCATGAGACAAAAGAGCTATATGTGTTCTTGCAACAGAACACACAATTTACACTTATTAGTGACACATAAGTAGCTGCCTTTTTATGGTGTGTAGCATTAGACAAAAGAGCTATATGTGATCTTGCAACAGAACACACAATTTACACTTATTAGTGACACATAAGTAGCTGCCTTTTTATGGTGTGTAGCATGAGACAAAAAAGCTATATGTGTTCTTGCAACAGAACACACAACTTGCACTTATTAATGATACATAAGTAGTTGGAATTGTGCTCATCTATTTTTTACCCACTGTATTAAATATTTGCCCATTTATTTTGTTATTGTATCATAAGTATTTGGGGCTATCCCCCTAACATTTTGACTTGAATAAATTGATAAATATGTGTTTGTATATTTTTTATCTTGATTTATAGTTAAAAACATGTTCAGACATTAAGGTACAAATTATTGGTTTTTCTGAAGATCTTTTGTTTTATAGCCCACAGTAAAGGAGCTGACAAGCCCAGTGTGTGTACAGTGTGCATACTTAGATGGACCAGTATGGGGATTTTTAGGGTACCAACTTAATACTCTCAACATTAATAGCCCTGAAGGCATTAAGAACCAAGTATGGATTGATGGACCTTACAACCTGTATGAAAGCTGTGACCAGGCTAGTGGAATTCAAGGTTATAACAGTGAAACATTTTCCAAATTTTTGTCTCTTCATCTCAATGAAACCTAGAGAAGTATAGATTGTTACTTATAATCTAGTTATGTGTAAGTCATCATTAACAGTATCTAAATATTAACAAATAAAGACGTTATTATGATCAGCTAAAGTAGTCAGTGAACAATTACTCATTTTCAACTTAATTTCCAACAGTGATGTTTATACAGCAAGCAGTTTTGAGAATATCTTCATAAGTCAAGAAGGCTTATTTAATTTTGTTTGAAATGCTATTCATTTATAAATAAACTTTTGGCTGTCAACTAAATCAAAAATAATAATATATTGAACTGGGAAGTAAAAATGAAGATAAAAATTAGTTTTTGATTTCTAACTGTAGGTTATAAGTATAACATGCTTTGTGAAAAACTACATTACTATGTCTATGAGCATAAATATTTTTATGCCTTAATGAACTTTAAAATATGATTCTAAAGAACTTGTAAGTTGAATACCATCTAGGGCTTGGTACAGTGATGATAGCAAATAAAAATATTTTTGCTTGAATAATAAACTATATAATTGTGATAGAAAACAGAACTATGCAGATATGCTAGAGGACAGAACTTCAAGGTTGTGCCAGATGATAGAACAACACAGTTGTGGTTAGAAAGGAAACTACTCACTTGTGCTAAAAGACAGAACTGTATATGTTTGCTTGAAGACTAAACAGTATAGTTGTATGAGAACCTAGAATTTCACAGTTGTGCTAGATGAAGTGTACTAGTTGCTGGTAGTTTGAATCCCACAGTTTTGCCAGAAGATTGATCAAAACAGTTGTGCTAGAAAATAGAACTACACAGATGTACTAGGTGTATGTTTTTGCTTTAAGACTAAAACTACACAAACTTGATAGAAGACTTGTGCTGGAAGTTTTAGATACACATTTGTGCCCTAACATCGAATCATGTGTTTGTTCTTGAAGATAAAACAATGCATTTATGCTACAAAACTTAACTACACAGTTTTGATAGAAAACTGATCTGTCCGAATTCAAAAACTTAGCAAGCATCAGCTTGATAATCTGTATTACCTGTTCAGTTAAACTAGTGAACTGAAGATAATATAGTGAAATATGTACTTTCTCTACTCCTATTAACAAACCTCTAAAAGC